CTCAGTTTGGGAAGACTACAAATACAAATATGTACTGTGCAAAACAAGGTTTACAAATACAATAAACAAGGTTTTGCACTGTAAATATTTGTATTTGTACTCCTCCCAAACTGAGCCTTAGCAACTGGGACCACCTACCATTTTGATTTCAAAGCTGACTTCCTACACTCTCAACCAATGCCTTCTATTTCACAATATATCTAGTTCTTCAAGTTTTAAACCTTGTCTTCAACTTGTTTTGGAAGATCTGGTTGCTCATTTCCTTCTAAACATGGTGATGGAAGACATACAGAAGGATGTGATAGAAGTAACTTGCCATACAACCAAGATCTCCTGTGTTTGAGGGTGGGATCCTACATATCCAAAAAGAAATTATTCTATAATATGCGGTCCTGCAATGAATGAGTAGGTGATAACTATTTTCTTTACATCCCTTAACATAAGGCAACCATTTTTATTCTTCTGCCACCATGCAATAGGTGATATATAATAGATCACTGTATCAACCTTCAAAAGAAGAAGCCCCCGTTGAATGGAGCTAGAGAGGCCCAAAAGCTTTGAAGCAATGGAAGCCTGTTTCCAGCTCTAATATCAAGTTTCTAACTGTAAATTGCCCCTGAGATTCCACTTGAACATTTACATCCTCTCAAATGCATGTAATGCATGTAGTTTTGATTTTTCTTTCTGTCTTTTGTCTTGTTTTCATTGGGATAAATATGAAGGCTTAATCTCATGAATTGGCTGGGTGGGTTCTATTCTAGTTTAGTAGGATTTTACCTATGCTTCTTATCACTTCATTGTATTGAGGAGATCATTTTTGCATAACTTAAGAGGTGATTAATTGTAGCCTACTGACTTACTATGATTCTGTCAATTTTTCATGATACCTTGTGCTTAAAGAGTTGGTACATGTAAAGTGTATATTCTTCCTAAGGTGCTGATATGAGATGGTGCATAAAATTTAATATCTGCTTCTTTGCTTGGAAGGGTAAATAAAGAATTAAACTAAAATTAATGGTACCCAGGTAGTGGATGAATACCAGAAGAACTTTGGAGAATCTTGGAGGACTGTACAGTCAGATTCCACCCAACCATGGCCCTATTTGAATGAAGCTCTAACCAAATTTCAGGTACCCGTCTGCATCCTGATTCATAATTTAATTAGAAGATAGAATGCCATTGTCCATTTCCTCTTTTAACATTCTACCCTGTTGTGGGTGAAGCTTGTGTACCATATGATTTTGAAGTTTTTCACTGAAAATAACCTGGATGTGTTTTATTATTTTCTTCAGGACCCTGCAGAAGCTGATAAATTGCTGAAAATCCAGAGGGAGTTGGATGAAACTAAGATCATTCTTGTGAGTTTTTAATTATGGATTTGATGGTAAACAATATGCCAAATCTGTTTCATCATTTTATTACCAAGTATGCCTTATAAGCTTTTTTTCACATATTGATATGCATACAACTATTTTCATATATTTTT